GTTCGATATAATCGATAAATTTTCGAGTTTTCGAAGTATTTTTGAGTATTTAGCGTAAACGCGTTAAAATATAATTTAAAGGTAGAAATCGTTAGATAGTTTTAGAAATATAGTTTAGAGACAATGTAGGTATTGTTTGTTAGCTGAAACGGACGATCAGGGCTTCAAAAAAATCAATTTTCATGGGTAAGGGACACCATTGTCATGGCTGTTGGAGTTGCAGGAAGTTCCGGAGCTACATCTACGGAACAAATTAACGTTAGGGCAATTCTGTAGATGCAACTCCGGAACAAATCAAACTTTCATAATTCTGGGTTCTTCCGTAGATACATATACAGAAGTTTTCTGTATGTTTACATCCGGAAGTAAAAAAAAGTTAATTTTTTTTCTTTTTTGTTTTTTAATTTATTTGTATCTAATTGTTTTTTCTTTGTTATACCTTGCAGACATTATGGCAGACAGAGAAGATAGATTGCGACTTGGACGGGTTTCACAGCATGCATATGTGAGATGCGGGTGGAGTCAGACCACCGTTACCGAGGTCGATACAGTTGAGGCACATTTTCTTCATCAGATGCCCAGGACATTCTATCGACCACGTATCCCACCCCATCATCCACTTCTTCATCCTAGAGGCATCAGTATTCAACTGAGGGTACATCACAGGCTCCGTCCTTCCGCAGGCCTTGTCGGGATACTCCTGGTTCTCCTCCTGTCTATGATCTGGTACCACCTCCAAAGGCTGATAACCCACCATCAGAGGATGCTGGTGACGACGACGATGATGAGCCTGAGGGTTTCCCAGGGGTCCCTCAGATATGTCCTTGCTGACAGGGTATGCTAACCATATTGCTAGACATGTCTGGGAGGGAGAGGTAACATTACTCATATTGTTTCTTTTTTTTTCATTAGAAATTTATAATTTGTATCATTGTTTCTTATTAACATTGTTTCTTATTTATGGAAATTTTCAAACTCGTCAGCCGCAGAAGTTTTATAACCACGGGCGGAAGATAGTATCTTTGGAGCAGCCACAGGAGGCTTGGTTCCAGGATGTCCTTGTCGCCTCTGGTTTGAAGGACCTTTGTGAGATTGGTTACAGCGTGATCCATAATGGGATGTTGATGGGCTTTGCGGAGAGATGGCACCCTGAGACGTTCTCCTTCCATCTACCGCACGGCGAGCTAACGATCACACTGGACGACATCTCCTATCTACTACACAATCGATCAGAGGTACCTTCCTCCGTCACGGTAGGATGACGAAGGAGGATGTGAGAGAGATGTTGGTCGAGGAGCTTAGGGCGGGTCCACTGGATGCACTTGAGGAGGTGGATAAAACCGGAGAGGCTCGTGTGAGGTTTCCCTTTCTCATGCGTAGATCTAGTGAGGCGCTCGCTGCTGTACGCCAGGAAGATGGTGATCCAGCTGAGGTTGAGATACACAGGCAGCGTGTACTGAGATGTTATTTTCTATTTTTATTCGGAACTCAGTTGTTTGCGGACACTTCCTCCACATATACGGATGTCACTTACCTGAGGTTCTTTTTGGATTCCACACGGATCCATGAGTACAACTAGGGGGAAGGCTACCCTGGCTTACACGTATTCGAGGCTGGGAGAGAGATGTCTTTGGAAGACCAAGACTATGGTAGGGAGCCTGGCACTACTTGTGGTAACAATCTTATATCGTTCGACTTTTTTTCATTTCTTTTCATTCTATATTTGTGATAATGCTTGATCCTGATGTTTTTTATTTTCATTTCAGGCTTGAATATTCCAGCACTTTCCCATGATCGTCTGGTGGGGGAGTGTGCCTGATTATACAAAGCTGATGCCGCGTGTCCGTGTTTTTCTCCCGCTCAAGGGGAACCAGACGGTCGACCCTTACAAAGTCTATCTCGATCGTCTGGCTACTGAGGACATCTGGTACGATGTCTATGTTGATCACTGTTGACGCGCCAGCTTGACGACATCTCCCTATTCACAGGATGGTTGGCATGCAGTTCGACCATTATTGTTTCATATTTTCCCAAGCGCGTCATACGGAAGTTCGACTACACTCAGACCATTCCCAGACACCCAGTTGTCTTTGCTCCTCTCGGCTTGACCCGTATGTAGATAAAGGAGATTTATGCCAACTACCAGAGACACATGGTACCTGACGAGACTCAGACAACCAAAGCGCCGACAGATTGGAGTTGCGTTGATGGCTACATCATGTAGTTCTTTGTCGTCTCACTATATGGTGCTCACTGCTGAAGGATCACCGCCCAGACCAGCTCATCAGGGGATCTTAGAGGAGCAGCAGTCTCAGTTATACTACACTCAGGATGTCTTATCTCGTTGTCGTCAAATAGTGGAGATGGGATGGTGGCAGCAGGGGAACTTATGTAGTGCAAGCATCGCACCAAGACGGGTGAGATCAATGGTCGAGGACGCAGACGGGCGGTCGAGGACGCAGACCGGGCGGTCGAGGAGGCAAGAGAGGCAGACGAGGCGGCAGAGGCATAGGCGGAAGAGGGGATGTAGTTCATGAACCTCCCTCACCTCTTTGTAATCAGTTACCAGTATCTCTCCCAAAAACTTATTTGTCAATTCTCAACAAGCAAGCACTGAAAGATATCTACCACTAACTTGTCAAATGTCTTCAAGGGACGTAGACCATCATTTATCCACTAACATGAGGAGGAATGAAGCAAAATCCTACTAATATGAAGAAAACTACCTAGGTCATGTAGGTCATCATTTCCCTAGCATTGGCGTGTGCATGTAGTTGGAATGTGCAAACATTTACATATGGATATATTTGTATGTATATGCTCAACGGCACATAACAATTGTGCCTTCACGAGGTAAAATTCAATGTACTTAAGCATTAAGTGATGTGCGTGCCCTAACCAACTTTTGAGATACTCGTCCCAAGTGACGGTTGAGGGGATCGCCCCAAGTGACACTTGAGGGACTCGCCCCAAGCGACATCTGAGGGACTGGTCTAAAATCATTCTCAAAGAATCATACTAATAAGATTGTTTCCCTTTTAAAGTCAATAATTTCGCTGCTCCTAGGTCCTATACTTAAGGGACTACGGACTGAGATGATTTTACTTAGCCTATAAAAGAATAACTTATGGCAAGGCATCCCAAGTAAAATGTTGCAACACTGGGCATGTGAATTATGGGTTGTCCGATTGGGCTTAGTCTGCCCAACCCAAATTAAGGACCATGTTATTCATGTTTATCACACATACCATGTGAGATGTCCAAGAAATGATGATCTGATGGAAGTCAAAGGTGAAAATTGTTCCTCTATTATTTAAGAAAAAAACAGTCTTTCGTTATTCTCACGTCCTCTTTGGGAAGCTATGGAAAGTCTTTTATCTCCTTCAAACCCAACTGAATAAGTTGTCAATAAAGTCTCCAGCTTCGTGATTTTGAGATTTATTCACCAATTACATAAACCCTAACATATAGAATCTTTTAGTTATCAAACACGTGAGCTGATTTCCAGTAATTCTTATTGTATTTCGTAAGTACAATTTCATTATAAAAATAAGTTGATATTTCGGTGTTCGAAAATTTTCAATGACTAAAAAATGAGACTTCAAATATAAAGGAGACATTCTTTGGTACTAGCCTTTAGATACAATAGTATAATTCATAATTTCCCAAAGAAATAATCTACCATCTATTCTTTGTAATAGCTCTTATCTTCATCTAATTATTCCACCTAGTATTCTTTTTATGTAAAAATAAGAGCTATATAGTGGAATATTTAAATTTTGAGATCTTAATCGGAGCTGGCTTTCCAAAATTTTAAATTTTCAATAACTTTGTTAATAATAGTCTTTTTATCTGCACTTTATATTTCAATTAGTTTAAATTTTAAGTCATTTTCATTAACACTTTTACTTTTTCTTTTCCTTAAATTCAATTGTCAATTTCAATATATTTGTTTATTTTTCTCACAGCTAAAATTTTCAAACCTTTTCCAACCAAGCCTTCAAACTTGAATCTAATTCGGAGATATCTTTAAAGTCATCATCAAAGGTGTAATTTACATGTTAGACATATCTCACATTTATTTATGTTTTAGATTTGATTTACTTTGCTTAAACTAAAAATATCCACAAACACAACTGAATTGTAATATAAAATTGATATGGCAGGAGATACAAAAATCAGTTAGAGCAAAAGCTTGCTTCCACAAGCCATACCAAATCCCAAATTAATTGAATCCAAACAACTTTTTTACAAATACTACAATAAAATAAACCGTTTCTGAATTTGAAGGAATCCAAACTAATTGTTTTTACAAAAACTACAATAAGAAAAAAAAAATTATAATTCCATTGACTTAAATCGTATAAAATCGTAAAATTTTCTACCCTTTATTGTATCCCACTCTTGGTTTCACAGATTCTTCTTAAGCAACATTTAAGTTATGTGACATTTCAATCTATGCTCGTGCATCATGCGTGAAAGCATGTGCACAGCTATGAGCAGGCGTAAGCAAGAATAGTCAGTTTTATGAGCATGTGTTCCCAGCTCTCAGTTGTAGAATTCTTTACTATTTTTTTTATTATGTCCTTTATGATCTCTTTTTACATCCACCAACACTGAAGTACAAAAGAAGCTAGAATATCAATTAAGGTGCTGCAATTCATTGTATGAATATCAGTTCAAAAGAATTAATTAAAAGTAACAGTGTCAAACCAATCAACTATAAACATTAAAAGAAACACCATTGTTATTTTCGCTTAAGAATGAAATAATATTTGTACTTTACTACAAAAGTTTGCAACCAATATTTGTTACAGGTCAAGCCAACAATTTGTTTAAACCTCGTGTTATCGTATCTTCACTGTTGAGTGTATAATATCCAGTCTCTCGATAATCTTATGTGCAGATAGTCACCAAAAGAAAATAATTGAAATGCAAGTACAATTACATGCAGAAAATAGGTTATCTACATGGCATGGCACCAACTCCAGAAGCATTTCTCAGGTACGGGGTTTATTTCCATTTTTGTACATGTTATCGATCACATTCTGTGGACACAAATAAAATTGTAGTCAGTACTTTCAGAATACAGAAACTATTAAGCATGAATGCAGGTTTTTAAATACAAAGTTGTAAAACAGGGTACATCAGTTGCACTATGATTCACATCTAATTAATAGCATGTGAGCAGATGACATCTAAAATCTGACTATTAGTCAATTCAATCAGATGAGATTTCCACTTTCTTTTTTTTCATTTATATTTCTCAGTAGAATGAATGAAACTATTTTGGAAGAAAAAAAGTTCTATTTACAAAGACAACTGCACTTAAATATCCATTATTCTAGGAAGCATAATTTTTTTTGAAACAAAAATGAAATCCTGAGAGTTTGACAGCTTTTACCTGATAGTATTTAAGCAACTGAGGCCTCTTCTTCTTAAACGTTGGAGTGATAAGGTCACGTTCCATATCAAATGGAACTGGGTCAAGATGAACTGCTTTTATAAACTCAAATCCTTTCAACTGCCAAAAAAAAAAATCAACCATGCCATAAAATTTCAGGAAACGTACTCATGCTTACACATAGAATAGAATCAATTGGTGCATGCGTAAGACCATACACAAACCACCTAAATGACCAAAGTTTATTTTGGGCCATCCAGCCACTGAGTCCAAGTTAATTATGCTAATATTTCATATAAATATTATTTCAAACTTTTCATTTACTGGTATCCAAACTAACTGTATATGATTAGACAGTTGATATTTCATATTAGGCTGAATTAAAAAGTGATGTATGGGAATCATAAATAGTCATGAGAGTTGTAGGAAAACTCATTAGATTAATGTGAAATCTTTTTAGTATGACATACATACATACACTACAAACATAACAAAGTAGAACAATAATAACAAACTTAAATTAGATCAAACCTTCTTTTCCTTTCCAAGCTTTGAGAGCTCTTCAAGTATGTAACTTTTTGCCCTAGAATCTTCACAGAGAGTATCAAAGTCCATTGATATACCATTTTCTTCTGCCCACTGTTCAAGTGCCTGCTTTCTAGGGTTAACAACGGCAACAAGGAAGGCCTCAAAACTGTTTCCGTAAACCCATATCTGAGACAGGAGGAAAAAAAGTTCAAACCACCATGGAACAGAACAGTTTCAACTCATGAAATGAAGCTGAAAGTACAGACTATTTTTATGTCTTTTTGACCTTGTGATATGAATGCCACAATGAATAATTGTACAGATACACGCTATTAGAATAGTCATATCTCTTGGACAAATGATCATGCTGGACTACAGTATGCTGACACTATGTAAAGTAGATCAACATGCACTAGTACCTATGCACGACTACACATACGACTATGGGCAACATGCACTGCTATTGGTAGAAATTTAAAGAAGCACAGTACAGTTATAGAACTATATGTCAAACAAGAAATAAGAATGCAATTTGGGTTAATTTTAGGCAAGAAAGAAATTTATCGAAGCCTAGAAGTAGGCGTGTCTACATAAACTGAAAAGCAAGCTGAGGATCAGTCTACAGCCTGCTTATATATTGAATTCAGGTATTGAAAATTATCAAGCTTGAACTGAAAATATTAGCTGCACAAGATTGGCCATACTTGTGTCAAGCCCATCAAGGGCACAGTTTCAGTAATTCTATAATGAACCAACTAGTTAATCAATTAGAGTATTATGAGTCAAAAGATCTTTTTCCAACTCTGTATGGGCATTAATTTCACTACAAGCTAGGACGCTAAAACTATTGGAAGAACCCTCAAGACTTACCGATTCAATAGAAGGAACTTGGCTAAAAATATTCTCCAAGTTTTCAACTGCGACATATTCTCCTTGTGAAAGCTTGAATATATTCTTCTTCCTATCAATAATCTTCATGCTTCCATTAGGCTGCCACTCTCCAATATCCCCTGATGAACGAATAACTCAATTTAAAAGAATCTAACATCAAAATGTGACCCTAGTCCCAACAGCTAATTTAAATACTAGTATCTACATAATTCAATTTTAGAAAACACAGATGAATTAAAATAACCTGTATGGAACCATCCATCAATCAGAACCTCTTTTGTGAGGTCTTCACGTTTGTAGTACCCTGAAAATAAGGGATCACCCTTTACACAAATTTCTCCTCTTGGTGTGCTTGCAAGGGCATCGTAGCCCATTTCAGGGACAGATTCCAGGCACGCATCTACATTTGGTACAGGAGGACCCACTGTTCCAAGCATACCTAGTTCATTTGGTAATGAGACAAAGGTTCCCGCACAGGTTTCGGTCAAACCTGTTTACATTTCAACAAAGGCACATCAGTGAAGCCCATAGTCTAGTAAAAAGGTCATAAAGAAGTTAACATTCTAATATCTACATTATTACATATGCTGCATTGGAGTGAAAAAACATCAAATGACTTCCACATTCTATCAACATGCATTAAAACTAAAAGAATTAGCTAATTGTCACAGCTCGTCTCAAGTAAATCAAGGACAGTTTATATCCATATAATCAGCAATTGAAATATGAAACTAGACTTAACTAAACACAAATGGAGATTCAACTATATATTTGTGTGCACATTACAGGGGGTAAATTTTGATTTCCAAATACAGGAAGAGCATACCATATCCTTGTAGGACATGAGCACAAGTCACCACCCGTAAGTAACTTTCCACGTGCACAGATAGAGGTGCTGCTCCAGACAAAATGACACGTACTTTACCCCCTAAACCTTGCTTTACCTAATCAAATTGCAAGACCAAATCATGATTTAGCCAAAAAGATAAAATACATTGCGGTCAAATCGGGACTGGAAATTAATATTAGTAAACTTTACTACCTTATCGAACACAATTTTGTCAAGAAGTGGAGATGCTGATGCATGCTTATGCCCTTTCTTCATGTTATTCATTTTACTGCGATAAATTCTCAGAGCTTATATATAGCAACGCTTACTGGGACAACCAATAGTTAAATATAGCAACTTAATTAAAAAAAAATTGACACTAATCTAAAAGGGATTCTGCGTGATTTGACAAATTAGCACTCATGGTTTCCTAGTATCTGATAGAGGACATGTGACATCATTAGTACTTACTATGAATAAGCAAAGTTGAATAATGTCTTCTTCAGGAAGCCTCCAGAAGAAATTTTCTGTGTCAAACCTGCATGCCAGAGTTGAGAGTCTTAATATAATTTTCTGTCTAGCCAGGAAAAGGGGTGAAAGCTTAGAAAAATAGGGAAAAAATGTAAAAAGAAAAACAAACACTCAATTATCATGAAATAATTTACGTGGTAATTTTTTCCTCTTGAGTTCATTATTTGATCATCAAGACCACACAACATAAGAAAGGCATACCTGAGTACACTCTATCAAGTACACGGGGTACAGCACAGAAAATAGTTGGTTTTAGCTCTCCAAGGTCCTCGATTAACAATTTAACATCCTGCAGTCATTGTGCATATGATGGACAAGTTCATATTCAAATCCAATCATAATCCATATTTTGACTTGTTGGGGTGATAAAATCAAATCCGAAGTTCAATTATCACATTAAATTATAATTCAGTAACAACCAGTTTATTACATATACTCACCCCACGCCAGAAGCCTATCGAGGCACCATGCCATATAAATGTCTCTTCAATGACCCTATCAAAAATATGTGCGAGAGGAAGGTATGATAAGTACACATCCTTCTCAGTCAACTGCAATGAAGAAAAAGGACGGGAGATTCTGAGTCAAAGAAGGACATGTAAGCATTTAGTTTCTTAAAACTATAAAAACATATCCAGAGCTTTGAGATTATTATTAAATATGCATGAACGAAATGAAATTTAATTATAGGGAATGATTCGTGCATTCACGAAGTATCAAGTAAAATATAACAGAGAACTACTTACTTTTTCATCTACACTCTCCAGCAGCCGCTTAACCCCAGCTAATAAGCTAATAATACTCTCATTGGATATCAATACTCCCTTGGGGTCACCAGTAGTGCCGCTAGTATACATTATAGTAGAGATATCGCTTCTTTTTTTTACAGGTAGATCAAAACTCTGACTTTCACCCTGTGGCAGGTAATAAAAATCAAATTAGGAATAGCAGAGCAAAAGTGACATTACTTTCTGCTAGCAACACTTGTAATGAGGTTAAGAAAAATAACTTCTACTAATGAATTTGTATCTTTAAAAAATTAACCCAAGTCAACTAACCAAACAACGCATAAGTTTCCATTGACACAATATCATCCTTATTTTTCTTATTTCAACTGCGTAACAATCAGATTAAACTTATTTCTTTCCACATATTTCACTATTAATTAGACTAACTGTCAGTGGACTGAGATAGTGATACAAGTCAAACAATATTTTTTGCTGCAAAGCAAAGGAGACTCAAGCAATTGCAAGTAATGCCAATTAATTATAGAAGGAACAGCTTTCATGTCAAATTTATTTAAAAGTTATAGTAGAAAGAGTAATAATAAATGAAATGAATAGCCCACCAATTGTAAAAATTCAGTCCATGAATATATTGCCAATCCAAACTCTTCAACTTCTTGCTTTTGTTCAGGAGTAACCTTTCCGAAGCTCACAATTGCTGTATAAAGACATATAAGTCATTGCTTCTTCCTTAAGCATGTGTATTTGGCAAAGAAATATGATTAAAAATACTCACTCCTGAGATATTTGGCTGCATTTGGAAATGTCTTCAACAGCTGAAAAGTTTTTAAAATAAAGATAGGGATAAAACGGACTGTTGATGGAAAAAGTGCACCTAACTCTGATCCTTCCTAAAAAATCTACTATGAAATTGACAATTTCAATAGACAAACCTCGGGTATTTTCTTTTCTTCTGCAAATGCAATTGAGACTTCTGCATGTAATATAATAAATTCCACGGCTCCAGAACCTAAGTCATATTTGTATGAGTGTCAAAGCCAATGATATTTGGATATTCAAAATTAGAAAACTGAATTTGAAAATAATGCAATGGTATGTATTTTTGGTAAAGTCCAAAAATAACCTAACAAAATTCTTGTAACTGATTATAAATATCAACATAATAGGACGTTCTACTACCAGTATAATGCAAAATTTGAAATTTGGTGAAGGTTAGCAAAAAAATGCCATATTGACAGAAATTGTGCAACTTTTCACACAACATCAAGTGGAAAATCTCAAGTACAATAGATTTGGAAACCAAATTTCAATTGAGTAAAAGCACCGTCTCTATTGTAACATGCTAAATGTATGCACTTACCTAAGGTATCATATAAAGGAACGCAAAGAAGTCCATGAGCATTGCAAGCCTGCACTTATTTGAAAATATGTTAAAATTTAAAAGCAGTAGAGTGGAAGAAGCTAGCAAAAGAATATTGTAGTCAGGGGCCAAGGGATGGCCACCAATAGCACCACACAAGCATGAGAACAAAAAATAATAGAAGCAGAACACTGCAGCAAGTAGACATTCTAAGAAAAATACAATAGACAGAGAAATAAATAACAGCGGATATAAGACAAACAAAAAAAAACAAATATAACATAAACCTCAACAAACAGAGTGAGTGTATGGTATCAAGGAGAAAGGGAATTAAAAGCGTATTCTAGGAGAGGTAAGAGAAGGACAGTTGGAAAAACAGATGTATAGGGTAGGAACCGGTTAATAGGGTAAGTAACCATAACTGTTTCAATTGTAGAAGGGAGTTTTTCCATTAGAAAGGTATTACAACCCTTGATCAATAATCAGAATTATTGCCATTCTTTTTTACTACTGCTCCTTCTCTCTTTCAAAAATCCAACAATTGGTCCGACCTATCGGATTCTGAAAGAGCTGCTGGTGTGACCAGAATTGGAGTCAGGAGTTGGAGCCTTGGAGAATGAAATATTCCATTGAGTGGATTTCAGTGTCGAAGAAATTCTCTGAGGTGCGAGGAATATGTTCGGCAGAGAAACTGCACTTGCTTTACAATTTGTTTTCGTGAATATGGGATGCGATGCAACCCACCAATTTCAGTTTTGACACCATTAAAGCCTAGAACATACAAAGCATCTACAATGACTTTGATAAGAAGGTCTAAGAGAGGCGAGAGGGCAACATGTTGGAAAAGTTGGCCACATCGTGTTGGATGGACCCGGTGGAGGAGTATATGTAGAATTTCAAAACCTTGGTGGTGCAAGCTGGAGTCATTCAAGAGAAACAACTCTTTTGATACTTTTTGGAGAACTTAGATCGGGAATAAGGTCCTAATGAGGATGCATAACATGGACGAGTCTTGACTCTCAACGGCCATTGAACTGACTAAATATTTGGAGGAAAAGTCACAATCACTCTTGGATGGGGTGGGTCATGCATTAAGAAACTTTCCCCCAATTTGGTGCTGCATAATGCGACTGTCACTACAAGAATAAGATCTTCAATGGGAGGCATGAGTCAATCAGGCAGCAAGAGTCAGATTGGGGAACAAACAGGGGGTCAGAATTGGGAAAATTTTAGAAGACAGACAAGAGGAAAGAAATTCAAATGTACCTCCATGCTCATAATCCACTCTGCAGAATTGGCACCATAAATACCGCACTTTACACCCTGCAAACCAGAAATAAGTTAATTAAGCTCACAAAAAAATCACAAGAAATAATTACCTTCAAAAGTGAAATGTTTAAATCATTTAAGACAAATGTTGCCTGCTAAGGTTGAACAGGAAAATCTGTGACAAAGATTCAAGCAATCGAACTCACATGACCGTGTTCTTGATAAGTGAATAACTACTGAACTATTCATGACACATTATCAATAATATACGTTCGAAGAAATAGATTAAGAGGTATTTGAAAGTTGGCAATTGCATGAAACCATGCGTCGACATTGCACATCAGTGCTGATTGTCAATAATGAACAAACAACCCAACATGTCCAGAGAATCCAATGATTGGAATGTCATACAATGAAGAAAATGCTATTAAAATAGCGAAAAACAAAACAAGGTTTCATTTAACGATAATCAAAAGACAAAAGACTTACTTCTCCATAACCACAGCTGCGGATGGAATTTCCGACTTTGATCACCATATCATATACTTCTTTGTAAGTTTGCCACTTGTAACCACCTGCCTGTTACATGTCAAAATAAAATGCACATTTAAATAAACCAAAAGCCATGAGTAGTCAAGAAATGCAAGAGAAATTGCATAAAACAAAAACAAAAAAGACTTATACAGTATCTGAGGCTTTACCTTCCCATCCACAATCTCTCTGTTACCAAGCATAGGATTATTTGGATATTTCTCAACTGACATTCTGTAAAAATGACTATACAATCAGAACTGAAATGACTAATATCTTATCAAATACAAGTCCTAATTCATGTCATTGTTATTAAATTGCGACTATAGCAGACTTTCAACAAATAATTATTGTTCCATGATATGCAACTTAACACAAAATATTGTGAAATCACGGCTATAGAGGCATATAACGCTATAGTATGCGAACTTGAACAAACTTTTTTTTTGAGATCCGCAAATGGCAACATTATTTTTATTTGTTAGCATAGCAAAAATTAATTAATCCATAACGCAGACTCTGAATCCAAAATAAATTGAAAATTTAATCAAGAATGAACTGATCCATAGCGCAGACTCTGAGTAGAAAATAAATTGAAAAATGAAAGAATATATTCAAGTCCTCTTCATGCGCACAAAAAAAGGTCAACGATATGTATTTCTTCAAAATTGAAAAGAAAATAGGAAGAAAAAATCGAGAAACCGAATAATAAACTCTGATTCGCCTAAAATGGAACAAAAATTAAATAAAATTAAACGCATCCGATCTAGTAAAAAATCTACTGATTGCGAACATAAGAACATTTATTGCATCAAGCAACAAAGCTTCAATTTAAATCAAGTCATCTAGTCACAATCAAATCCACAACAAATATTCATGAAATAAAGTTAAAAGTTAAGAGAATTGAATTTTCCTAATCATGAAGTGACAAAAAAAAACTAACCGGAAAACGTCCCAGCAACAATCAAGACCTTGAATAGGAGCAGGAAATCCATCTTTAGCGAAGATGCTACGGTAGGCAGGTCCTCTTGAAGGTCTACCATCACTCGCTGCCTTTGCTTTTTCGACTTCAATGACGAATCTGTTCTGCGCCATGGATTCCGATTGGAGAAGAAGAAGAAGGTGGAAGATGGAAAAGGGAGCAGAGAGTTTAAATGAAATTGATCAGTTATGGGGAAGTAAGTTTTGACTTGATAGATAGGGTAGGGTAGTAGGGTAGAGTAGAGAATGCGATTGAGAACTGTTTTTGGTTGCTTATTTGATGGCAAGTGTACTTGTAGGCGAATTAGGTTTGGATGGGTCAGCAAACAGTGCTCAAACGTTTCTTTCTTAGGCCTTTTCTTAAACTACTTTTCCTCTGTCTTTATTTTTTTTTAATATTCTTCTTCATACCGCGGGCTTGTTGAAATTTTACTATGCTTCCTTTTAGCTTTAGTGTTGACGGATTTATTTTAAAACGAATAATTATATCCATAAAAAAATTATCTTATCACAAAAGTAAAATGAAAATAATAAATCTTGTAGAAATGTAATATACATGGTAATAGTTTGATTTAATTTAATATTATACACGCTCAACACAATAATTTATTAATAATTTAATTTAATATTATACACGCTCAACACAATAATTTATTAATATAATTTTAGATATAGTTATAATAAAAGTCAAACATATGTAATAATTTAATAATAATAATTATTATTATTATTATGTTAACAAATATATATATATATATATATATATATATATATATATATATATATATATATATATATATATATATATATATATATAACATTTATTAAAAAATAATATTCAATATACATCTAAAAACCAACGATAATAATTTGATGCAAAAATATCCTTAAAAGATATTAACACAATATATTGTTAATAGTATATTGATATCAGTTAAGTTTTTTTTCCTGCTTTTCTAAAACTGAATTTTTTTAAATAACAAATTTTTAAATTTAAATATATAAATAATCAACATTCAACATTATTCACAAAAGATTCATGTTTCAAATAAAAAGATTTGTATCAAAGAAAGTGTGCTGATATGATTGGCGTATACACTCAAATTTAAACACTAGAGTTAGACTTTATAGCGCATGTAGTATGATCATGTCAATTTTTTTAATTAGATTATAATAGAAAAAAAAAATATCACAAAACAATGGAGGGTAACATTTGTTTTAGGGTCTAAGATTGTGAATGATGTCACCACTTATGTTGCATATTCCATCTCTTTTCGGAGATGTTATGTGAGTTTTCTCTTTACCCTCTATTTTTTTATTTTGAAACATTGAGAAAAATGCACAATTTAAATTTGGATGGAGTGGCGGAGGGAGTATTTCCATTTTTATTTTTATTTCTGCACTTTTTTCCGCATTATTTGTGTTTGTTTGTTTTAACTTTGTTTTTAGTAGTATTTTTCTAGCTGTATATACAATGCTTTGAAGAATAATTCAAATTTTGAGTCATTTTAAAAAAAAAATCGTAAAGTTTTGATTTGATTGAATAAGAAAGTGTATAGAGATTTAGGGATAAAAGACTACGATTTAGGACCCTAAAAAAAGTCGATAAATATTGTTCGAACACTTGAATTTTTTCCAAATAAGATAACAATTTCATAAGTTTTGTGTTATAGTATCCAAATTTTGAGAAGTATTATTCTATTAGTTTTATAAAAACAGTTTGACATACTATAGATTCACAAACTATACTTAGTTAGTTAAAAAATAAGAAAAAAATGAAGAAAAAATGGCATTAAAGGTAACTGCACCAATTAAGTTGGGTAACCCTTACCCGGTTATTAAACTCAACAATGGTTGATCCCCAATGTTAGAAAAAAAATATTAATAAATAATAGTTGGTCGAAGTAAGTTAGGTTTAACCTGAAAAGGTTGCCCCTTCCAAAAGCTAACTCACTTTTTTTGTTGTAAATGATAAATAAATCCTCAATTAGTTTTGTATAGTTTCTAATGATTACCCATATTTCATTGCCTTTAATTTGATTGTTAAAAGAACAAAAGTAGAAGAAAATAGATAAGTGAGACTTAGGTACAAATTCATAGTCAGAACATTATCTAATGAGGAAAACATTTGGTTCTTGTTTACATGTTTAGTGTCCTTACAGTATTTATAGTGTTGATCTAGTACAAGAGAATTTGATTCAAAGCCAATCGGAACTAAGTTCACTTATGAGTATTATTCATTTCAATTTCATAAACTTTGCATGCTTCATTACCCTGTCCTATTTTTCTGTTTGTGAGCTGAGTTGCTTAAGGACAAGCAATGATTCAAGTTTGAGAGAGTTTGATAAGTGATATTTATACCATTTATTGCATGCCTTTTGGTAGTGTTTTGTACTTTCAGCTAATAAGGAGTGCCAAGAGTCGAAGCTGAAGGAAAAAGGAACGAAAATGTAAGAAGATGAGTCCTCTAGTACACAAAACTCATAGCGTGTTAGCTGACACAGGGGGGTCGTGTCAGGTAAGACACCTGTGTTGAGCCCATCACCAGTTAATAATTCTTTGAGTTTTGTGACTTTTGAAAGCTCTAAGTTGTTCCAATTCAGTGATAAAAATGCCCTTAATTATACTTGTACGAATTTAAGATGATTTATGGTGAATAATTTGTACAAATATGCCGAAAATTGGCTTGAGAAGAGACAACTTACTACATTTCACCTGTTTTTATTTTTATTTCCCTTGTTCCAAGTCTTGTTGTATTTTCAAATAATTTTTTCTTTATCGTTATTCAAGTAATTTTGCCTTCATTCAGGTTTGTTTAAATTGTTATTGATTTTATTTTATTTTTATTTTTTAACTTATGTATGTTATTCTTTTATCGTTTATTTTGCAATTTCTCTAATTGTGTATGAGATGTCCATTAGGAACAAGGGGTCGTGAGATCTATCTCATGACAAATTTCGATTGAGTCATTCACACGTGGATAATGAGAAAAATAAGAGCAATTGTTATTTTAGAGTGTGAACGCTTAAATGTATATGTGTTGTTTTCTAAAGTCAAGGTAACTCAGATATCGGTCGTATACTGAAAGGGTAGGTATCAGTATTTGAAAGTGGATTGCTAAACAGAGTTCGAGGCGACGCTGAAAAGGTGTCTCGCTCTTAGTTGAGAAAGCCTCATAGTTGCGTTAAATAATTCTCCCAAATGAATATTTCGGACTAGCTAAAAACGGGTGAATTATCCATTCGAGAGGGTACATACCTTGTAAAAGTAGATGTTGTACAATTTTGTCTATTATCTATAAATTGTTATGTTTTTCTCATAAGACACATGTGGATGTTGTAAGAGCCAAAAGTGGTAAGAAAGTTAAGAGTTCTAGGGAGAAACATAAACAAGTTGAGGAGAGTTCTAGTAAGAAAAATGTAGATATTAAGGAAAATCCACATACAACACCTAAAAAGGAGGTTGTTGAAAATATGGAGATGGAAGCATCTTATTTTTCTCCTCCTCTCTATAACTCACTAATTCCATTTTTGCAAATATTTGCAAAGGCGAAGGTAGAGGCCCATTTCAAAAATTTTGCATAACTATTGGAAAAGATCCACATCAATGTACCATTCACTAAGACAGTGTCTCAAATGCCTATGTATGCCAAGTTTTTAAAAGAAATATTTTCTAAAAAGAGAAAGTTATAAGAACATGAAACTAAAGAAATTATTGATTTTAAGAGAGGAAGGTTCACCTTTGAGGTGGAGAATGAGGGGATTGAATTCATAATGACAAAATTGTTAGAGTAAAATTGGTTTATTCCATATCCCTTAGGTTTTCATGATAACAAGGTATTTAAAGAACAATTAGGTATACTAATGTTTGTTTAAGTGTTCATGACGATAGACTTAAAATTCATATAAAAATCAAGTATTAGTTTTGACTCTGAACATTCAATGAGAAGCTTGAAGATCAAAATTTGATGGATCAGAAGTTGAAGACCAGACTCTAAAGAAGTCATCTTCTCAAGAGGTCATCGTCCAAAGATAAGAGTCTGAAGGAGTCAGCCTATGAAGACCAGACTTTGGAGAAGTCTACTTCTGATGATCAGAACCTGAGTCAATCAAAGCGCAAGGGTCAAGGTGACATAGATAGGTCACTCTTCATCTCTTAACATACTTTGACACTTGAATACCTAAGCTCTATCTTCTTCATTGAGTCTGTTGAGATACAATTGCTAATTCTTTTTGCAGCAAAGGATTTTTAAACTAGTTTTCATCTAACCTGACAGTTTGGTGAAACATCTCAACGTCTCTTTTGATGCTTCTCAAAAGACTCTATCGTGCTGAATCTTCAACGAATATTTGTTTCTTCATTTAAGGACTTGAAAATACGCACATACACAGGCGTTAATGAACAAAGATGAAACCTTAGTGTTTTACATGTATGTTTTACGGCTCGAAACCTTAATGATTATTAAAGAAGTTATACAAAGCAATGAGTATACCTCCATGTATACATTATTTATGAAGTCTTTGATACAATAATATATGACGATTGTGAATATCAACGATGGTGATCAAAGTAAGAGTTCTTGATAATATATCAACATTTATGATCAACTAACCTCATACTAGGTTGAGTAGATATGTTTGTGATGGACTTATCCATCTCGTTGGTTATATCAACTATCGCATCCAATGATACATTGAGAATGACACTCTATAATATGATCTGGGTTCCCTTTAAAGGGAAGTTTTATCAAGGGCTCTTGATAAAAATAGGTAGTACACTATTTTAAGGTTAAATGATCAAAAAAATCCAACCAGTCTTTTAAAATAGTGAATTTAATTTTTCTTATCTCAATAAATTTTGTTTACTAACAAAAAAGATGAGTTTCCAAATGCTTTAGAAAATGGGTGCAAATACAGCTGACCAAAGATGCAACACTAAATCTCAAAACGAAATATACAGAAAGAAAAAAAAAAAAAAAAAATATATATATATATATATATATATATATATATAAGAGAGAGAAATATAATTATGATTATAAAGTTATATAAATTTATTAAGTGTCTTTTTCTATAGGAGAGAGAAATAAAATAAGATAACTTTGTAAGAAATTA